AGCGAGATGTTCAGCTACCTAAAATATCAGCAGTTCTCTCCACCTACACTACCTGCAGTATATGTAACCCACAGCTGAAATGCAAGAAGTTTAGGGAATTAGCACTGCAGGCTGTCAGCAGTCGGCTTGGGAAATGCTAGAAATTGTAAAAAAGGAGAAGAGTATTACAAAACAGGCTGAAGCAAAGAGAGCACATTAAAATGAAATCTTCATTGCATAACTCATTCTCACTGTGGAGCAGTAACTCTGAAATGATTTATCAAGTTTTGGATTCCATCTGCAACGCTTTATTACCGAAAATTTCCTTTTGCATACGCTTCGACGTGGAAACGTGAACTGGAAAAAGTTCTTTCATGTCCTGAAAGAGACTTTTATTTTGAAGTGTGGTCACTTAAGTTCTTTAAGTGCTGCTGATACATGATTAGCATGTTTAAAAAGGTGTACGTTTATGTGATCAGTCCTCCACTAAGGTTTGACAGCTTCCTAAAAAGGTGAACTATTATTAGAAGTACTGCAATTTTTTTCCCCAAACTGTATTTAGTGTGACTCCTGTGGCCGTACTTCCTCTTTTAATCAGGACTTCTCTTGAAGATGGTACACATTACATTTGCTCGCTGAACCTTCACTATTTTTCTACTTTCAAATGTAAAGCTTGGTTGCTTGAAAACACGTAATGTTAATGTACTTTTGCAGCATTTTGAACTTCCTACTTTGGTTCTAATGTGTAAACCACGGACGGAAAGGGCCGTCGTGACGTTACCTACTGGTCAGTGAATTCCTGTGATGAAGTCTGGAGCTGAGAAAGTGAAAAGACCACATGCCCAGTCAGCAGCATACACAGCATTACTGGTCACTAAGGTCAAATAATATAATACGGGCACGATTTAGTTGGAAGTAGTTGTTTACGTGCTTCTTTCAGGTGTGCTCAGAGTCCACATGCATAGCTGGGGAATTATAGTTTAAGCCCTACTTTACGTGACAACAAACACCACAGGGCCCATTCACACAGACTCACTGAAGTGGAAACACCAACGAAGGCCTAACTAATGACCCCATGATTCTCTTGCGCTTCTAAGAGCAGTCACACCAACATCAACATCCTCTCTTGAAATGCCATCTTATTCATTTGTACCAACACGATAATTCAAACCAAGGAAACGGAGATGTCACTGTGAGTGTGTAATCTAAACGCTTTTCATTTACCTCTATTAACAGCAATTGATGCAACAGTCCTTCACCGATTCAATACCCTCCGCAAGCTTTCAAATGTCTCCATTCATGAACTCCCCGATCCGATTCATCTTTGGAAACCTGAAGATCAGCTAAGGCCACTGAACTACAACCGCATTAGCTTCCCACCCACATGGCATGAGAGTGAAATTTATATGACGCAAAATAGCTTTGCTGTGTTTGCTCTCAAAAAACGGACGACAGTACTAGATATGAGAAAATACATTTTTTAAGCTTAATCCAGAACGAGAACGTGTTTTGCAAAGATGAGAGCAGTATTAAAGATATGTTGCAAAAGTGCAAGCCCCCTGGGTCCACTTATTATCTTTGATTGTGAATATCTTTCCTCTACAGCTCCTGCAGAATTAAGAGGAATAAGCTCTCGGTTGATCTCAGAAATCATTATGGTTTAGCTCTCTATGAAATCCTCATGTTGTCTTTTATTTTTACTGGCTGGTTGGCTTGATGCTAACATCAGTGCCTTGAGGGTTATTTTGATAACGTTTGTGATAAAAACAACTATATAGATTGATGAATCCACCAAAAACACCCTCTAAAATGTTGGTTTTCATTGTTTCTGCAGCATAATGAGACCAGTGTAAATCTGCATGGCAACAAGTAGTTTTAACTGCAAGACCTGTACTTGCCCAGCATTATACTGTGTTTAAATCAGAGGGGTTTCCACTGTCACTGAAACAGCTTTATATTGTCAGGGTACAGTGCCTGTATCTGTAGTGTGTGTGTGTGTGTGTGTGTGTGTGTGTGTGTGTGTTTTTCAACATCACTTTAGCTTTCAAAACTGTTACTTGTTGGTAACAAGTAACAACACAACACATTGCAAGTTGTCTGGACATGACCTAAATGTAAAGTAAAATGCTGGCTTGTTATGAAGTCCAAACAAAGCAGGTAATACTGCTGAACACAGCACAGCTGGTAATCTGCTCAAACTAAACGTCTTTGCTATTAAATATGTCACCTTCCAGATGGAAAAGAAAATAATAAAAAAAATATTGTGCTTCAGAAGAAAACTGCATGAGAAAAATCACAATATGAGACATATAAGTTTCATAAGACGTGGATATGAAACAAACATTTACTTTTGAAAGAAATGGAAACATTTTTTCCTGTTTCTTTTCACTGTGAGCTTTTCTGTGGAGGTCATTTAGTTTCTTTTTTACACAAACGGAAACATCTAATATTGGCCGACGGCTGAGGAAACATAAGCAAATAGGAACAAGAAGATAGGATTAAGTGACCGAAGCGCACAAATACACACACAAACATTTATAAACACATACAAGCGTGCGCACACACACACACACACACACACATAGACACCATCATGGTAAATTACCCTCTCAGCTCTATAGGGGTCTGCAATTTGAGGGTGTCAAAGTCAAGGTGTAATATTAGCCTGGCATTAATAATAGCCGTAGCACTGCCCCTGCTAGTGTTAATGAGTGCAACACATTAACACACGTGTAGCTTTGGATCGCATGCCCACCCACACACCCGCGCATACACGCTCACACTTCAATAATGAAATACAAACTAACAATGAAGATGTTTTGCATGAGTTGTCACAGTGCACTTACTTATGCACCACCAGACACATTAAATTCTCAAAATGAAGAAGCTTTAAGAGCACAATGTTTAAAACATGCAAACGCTCTTAGGGCATGGTGTTAGCTTATACTTTTGGATTAACATGTGTGCTAAGGGCTAGTGAAGGCGGAGGGTGGAGAAGGGGGAGAACAGAGATGAGAGCTAAAGCTTCGAGCAATACTAATGCCCAGCTGAGATGAGCAGTCTGACAACAAGGCTACGAGGCCTTGTGAATAAACGATGAGCGCTCAAAGCCACGGGGGGCAGAGGTAGTAGTTATTTTAGCATGATGTTAACTCTCTTAACTGCTTAGCACGCAGATGAAAAAAGCATGTACACACACGCATGCACACAAAGACACAAAGACATTTTACTGTACTCTGTCCCTCTATACTGTTTGGTGAGGACAGCACTGGACGTTTGCCAGAGACCGACTCATCCAGGCCCACCTGGTGTGTGTGTGTGTGTGTGTGTCTTTATGCACAAACTTATAAACACTAAGTAGACAGAGCTGGGGGAGTCTGCCAAGCAGAGGAAGCCTTATGTCAATCAAGTGTCAGGGCAAGCTGGAGAGAAGGATATCAGGCCATGGATGAGACACTATAAATAACCTAGCCCACCTTGGGAGTCAGGGTCAAATACACACACACACACACACACCCTCATGTTTACATCACTTCAGAGGACACATCACTACACTGACTTGCATTCATTTCCTAGAGACTTGCCCTGAAAGTATCCAGTTTACCAAAGATTTACACTACACATTTTCTTTTTTTGTACCCAAATCTAGCACTCACAACACCAATATAACGCACTGAGAAAATACCAGAAAACAAACCTTAGAAAATCAGCGCCGAATTTTCAGAAAATGTACCATTAAAAGAATCACAAGTTCTAAACAGGCTTTTACACAAAAGAAAGCCTGAGTTGTGTCACTGAAGCCATTAAACGTGCAAACAACAGAGCTTCTTCTTATGTTATCTGCTTCTTTCAAATAGCACGCTCAAACAAGCCTTGCACACATATTTGCTAGTATTTATTCTTTCTACGCGCACTGCAGGTGACAGCGAAAGCCTTTGGATTCGATATGGGAGCGAAGTGCCCCCTGAATTCTGAGCAATCTCCAGCTACTTTTAACACTGTTCTACCAGCTTAAGACTTAAACTAGAGGCTGATTCAGATGGGATTTGGATCTATAGCAAGAGAGGATCTCAATATTGCACACGCCTTTTATGTTTCTTTCACAAACTAGAGCTGGCTCATGGTACATGTGGTTGCGTGAATATAGACAAAACTAAGGCAAATGTTTTATTACCCACCTCCTGGATTATTAGTTAATGTAATCCTGAGCTATAAGCAGATATGGCAGATTTAGGCATGCCCTACTGAAGCCTGTTAATTAAAGCAAGAACTCTTAAGTGCTCAGAAACCAACAAAACAGCTGGAGGAAAGATTTGGATATTACCAACTGTCTCCAGGATGTGAAATATCTTTTCAGCTCGTTCACGTTCTAATCATTTTGTTGATTAGGAGCCATAAGTATAATGAGGAGAGGAGAGGAGAGGAGAGGAGAGGAGAGGAGAGGAGAGGAGAGGAGAGGAAGTGATTGGGTTAGATTAAAGGGCGGATCGAAGGGTTTTTCTAACACATGCAAACCCTTTTGAGCTAGTTTCTACAGAGTGACAACTTCCAGTAGAGCAGAATCAGCTGTCATGGCAACATGCACTTCACATCTCAGCACCCATCATCATCATTATGATTATCATCATCATCATCATCATCATCATCATCATCATCATCAATGATGCTCCATAGCAAAAGGGGAGAAACGAGGGGAGCATGCCACTGCAGTTGATCTCATGTTTTCTTTTCATGCGAATGAAACAAAAGAGTGGAGATGAGGTCTAACAAAGGACTTGGCAGAGCAATGTAGTTATGTCATGTGTTAGTGTGTGTGTGTGTGTGGAGCCATTCTCTGTGTTTCTCCCTGTTCCTGCTGACACATCACCTCCACCTGAATGCATGGCAGCAGGCACGTGGGGGAGAGATGTGGAAACAAAACAGCGGGATTGTGACTGTGTGAGAGCGACCGTTTGGAGAAAAGAAAAGGGAAAAAAAAGGTGAGGTGGGTGTGGGGGTCAGAAGGGAAGAGGAAGTCATACTTTGGGCAACGGCGTTTCGGATGACCGGACTTTCTTGGGAGATATCTGTGAAGAGAGCAAGAGAATTATTTTCTTGTTTCCCCCTCTTCAGAGATATCTCCTGTGGCATATTGCTGTTCTCTGTAACAGAGCTTTGTCTGCTCGGATTTTCCTGTCAGCAGGACCTGCAAGCAGTTCCTGAGAGACTAACAGTGTATTGAGTCTCAAGCTTTGTCATTTATTTAAAAGGAACCTTGACTTGTAGTGTTACGCTTTATGAGCTTTCAGTTACAAAAATGGAAAATTTGTTTAAAATTCAAATGTTTCTTGGGAGATTACAGTACAAGGGCAACAGAAGTGGTGTACGCAGCAGTAAGTTGTACTGCAGCTCCTAAATTTCAAAGCACTGGCCCTCTTAAGTATGCTTGGACCACTTTAAAAGAGAATAATTGCCACATTATAAACAATGACCCTGTGAAGGCCCATTAGACCCAAAAACAACACACAGAGGAAAGGTGCACAGAAATATCAACGAGCAAATCATCAAGTGGTCAAGTGTGACTATAACTGCTATAACAGTTGGTCAAATGTGTCAAAGCGATATGTTAAGGAGCGCCAATGAACAACAACACATCAGAGGAGACACTCGGAGAGAAGAGGAGACACACAATCACAATCACAGGGGAGGTAATGCGAATGAAAAGACACATCAGTTTGAAATCACAGAGGCATCATGTAATGGAAAACATTTATAAAATCACACAGACGCTACATTAAACAATTCTGGACTGACACGGGCTGGAAAGACAAATATGGGTGGTGTGTATGTCTAACTCCTCTCACACACGCAGTCCATATCAAACA